CTTGTAACACACAGCCCTTTCGTAACATCCCTTTCCAACGGTTTTCGGTCGGTTTGTTTAGTAGCTATTTTACACGGATCAAAAGTGACTTGATACGAAGGAAATCGATGACCGGAGTAATGTATGATGCTTAGCCGGCGATTTATTTCCATCTATTGGTTAAACTCATTGAAATATCCGGAAATACCTCGTCAAAGATCGCTATATTTCATACCCTCAAAGCGGGTAAAATAAGGACTAGTATTCGGAAATCATAACATGGGAGACAGAAGTGAGCACAGTAAAACAATTTGGGGAAGATGACAGTAACTGACGAAGCGTATCACGTATTTCAAACGATTGGCACGAACCGCTGAGAAACCGTTCAGAAACCGTCCAGAAACCGGTCAGAAACCACTCAGAAACCATTCAAAAGCCGATCAGCTTAATAGTAAAAGCGCCCAAAAATATAATATTTCTTTTACGGATACAACTGGACATTCATCTAACCGTACCTTCCTCGTTATCGAGAGTGGTCCGTCTGTACTTAAGTTGAAGGCCATTAAACACATTGGTATTTTCATATCACTCCTATCACAAAAACACGCTTCGTTGTCTGATTTAATTTACGGTTCTCAAAGGCCTCCGGTGGCGTGAAGATAACCCCTGTAAATTTGGATGGAGATGGAGATCCCGTGTTTGTGAAGTGTCGTGTACTGGCCTACGGACTTCGGGAACCCGTGAAGAAATTTCTCGATACTTTGGTTGCCAAAGGGATACTTGAACCCATTTCATCGTCTAAGTAAGCAACGTCCATTTTTACTCCGTTGAATTCCGACGGACATACTCCAATAATATGTGGCGATTATCGAGCCACTTTGAATACCAGGCTTCATCTGTATACGTGCGCTACTGTAGAACCAGATGATATACTGTTTTGCTTCCATGGCTTCAATCACTTCTCACGTATTGACTTGAAGGATGGTTACTTGCAAATTCCTTCACATGAAAATTCCATGAGTTTGCTTCCAATAATACCCCATTTGGTTCGTACACATACAAGTTTCTGCGTTTTGGACTGTGCGATTCCCCAGTCATCTTTCAGTCTGCTATGAATACTATCATTGACGGACTTGAAGGATTTGAATGTTATCCAGATGACGTGGTTATCCATGCACTCACGCAAGCAGCTCATTATGATAGACTTGGGGAGTTATTGCAGTGTTTTCTGCGTTTAACATTGCCAACAACCCATCTAAATGTGTGTTTAATTCCATTTCTCTCTATTTTTCTGGGATATCAAACTACTAAGGCTGGTTATCAACCTGATCGTAATGGTTCCGCACCCATGCTTGACGTTTGCACCACTGGAAATATTACTGAACTGCATTCTTTGGTTGATTCTCTCCAATATTATTCACCTTTTATTCCAAATTTTGCTCCCATTATGAAACCTGTCTTCACAGTACTGTCATCCGGTAATTTCTCTTAGTCAGCCAAAGAAGAACAATCATTACGTTCCATTCTATCATACCTTAAGACGAAGGCATTTTTGCGTTCATTCACTCCGAAACTGCATTCCACCCTCATCACTGATGCGTCACTCACTGGAATTGAAACTATGTTAGAACGAGATGGATTCCCTGTTGTCTAGGTTTCATGTCGACTTATTACCACCGAAAAAGGTTATTCTCGGAAGCAACGTGAAGGTTCGGCTCTCTAATGGTCAGTAAACTGGGCTTCATAAATATCTGCTTGGATCCAAATTCACCATTATTTCGGATCACGAAGCACTTCTTTTTATTTAAGACCCATCTAAATCATTACACTAGTCCACTGATGCGATGGTCCAGCGATGGTGTACAGCACATTCTGCATATGATTATGATATACCGCATTGTAGTATTGAACCAATTCTATGTATGAGTTATCTATCCAGATATACTCAGTCAGATGCTTCATGTAATTTTGATTCTTGGCTTGTGAAACCACTTCCTGTGAGCCGACAAGACCTTATTCGCGATTCATGTGAATACTTTGGATATTTTTTCTCTGCAAATGAACCAGAATGTAATGCCAAAATTAAGCGTCAATTTCCTGATCATTTCAAGGAGAGAGGACTTAGCTATGACACCAGGTGGAATTCTGTGTTTAAGTGGCCGCAGTGTGGTTCTTCCATCACCCTGGCGATTAATACCATCTGATTTGCATTCTGGTCATTTGGGAATGCAGAAAATGAAAGCGCTTGCTCACCTGACTAGCTGGTCGCCTGGGATCGATTGCGATATTGTGCAACTCACCAAACGTTGTGACCGTTAGGTGCACAAAATCTATTCTCCTCCTGCTAAATGAACTCCATGGCCGACATCTTGCGAAGCTTGGGAAAGAATTCATGCCGATTACTGTGTTCCGTTCCCTAATGAATTCTGGAAAGGCCTTTCCCAGGCCGATTTTGCGGAAAACGGTTTTCCCTGACAAGCCGAGAGAAGAAGCATGAAAGTGGAGAATGGGAAAGCTGCCAGAGATCGAGGCGTTGTTTAGTCCTCGATAGTCACCGGACGGCCTCCAGTCAGCGGAAGTTGATTTCGAAACCATGTGTGGTGGTAAAGCCGACGGACCATTTGAAGGACGGATAATACCAATATGGTCAAACTCAGCTTTCGCTGTCTTCATCTTCTCTGGGGTGAGGCATTTGGGGCTGACAGTGGCAAGATATCCCTTATTCGTTATACGGTAAACTACGCAATGTGTTGCTTTCAAAATGTCGCGGATGGTGTAGAATATTTGAGGTAATTTTAAAAACACCGTCGCGTGAGTGTCCGATGTTTGCACAGGCGAGCGGATGTCGATTGAATCTGCGGTTACGGCTTTGCCTTGAATTGAAAATATATTGGCACTATCACGCACGGTCCTGTGTCTCAAATCAACGACCTAACAGAATCGAGTTGGAAGGTCGATACCTAAAATGGGGTGACTAACATCGGCGACCGCAAAGATCCACGGGAAGCATCGTCGGAGGCTGAGATCGGGAGTAAGCAGTTTCTCGCCATATTTGGGGATGGTAGAGTTGTTCGCCGTCTGTACTATGAAGGGCGATGGATAGAGGTGGCGCTTCTCACGAGTATCGACAAGGAATCTGAAGTTGTCTGATTTGTCATATACGAAAAACAGGCGACTTCCCGATTTATCAGCTGCAGTTTTCACCATTACTGGTTGACTCGGCCGTTTCCCTACGTCTGTGGGAGATTTGCTTGTGGTGTTTCGTATACGCACAGCCGAGTGCACTTCCACGCATTTCCTCCGAACCGACCATGAAAGTGCAGTGACCTCGATCGTTCTGAGAAAATGACCATTTTCTGGATATTATTTTGGATCTGTTTTCTCAACCATCTTTTCTAACGTTTGATATAGACCTCACTGTTTTGTTCGGTTGCTTACGTTTTACTGGACTGACTTTCCCGTGGTCTCCGTTGGCCTCGTTTTAAATCACTTTCATTTTCTGTCCTTCGTCGATTGTACACGCTCGCGGTTCGCTTTCTAACCAGCCATTGCGTTCATATCCGTCCGGTGTACCTCGTATCGGTACTGTTTCGGTGCCACGATATATAGATTACACTTTTGAATCTGTTAACCGATTTGCGTCTTCTCAATTCGTCCGATAGGGGGATTACGTTGGTATTTCGCCGCGAGACCAAATAGAAGACACGTTCACTAGCCGCCCTAGAGCATCTATTTTGGTGAGCTGAAACCTCCAGAGCCCTCCTGGATTATTCGCCTTCGCGGTGAGTCTGCATTTTTTTCTCTTTTTCACGTCCTCCTTTTGTTGCGCGATATATGTTATTCACGACGTATTATCGCAACATAATCATGTCTGAGGATAAGATGCAGCTCGACACAGACATCACTTTATCTGCAGTTGCTTTCAAGCCAGTGGCGTTTATCCCACTTGACCCTGAGGCTTGGTCTGCAGCTTTTAAGCAGTAATTTGAGGCACGTAGGATAACCAGCTAGGGCCAACAACTTTCTTATGCCTTAGAGCCAGTCCCGGGTGATGTTATCGCCTCAGTGAGTGATTTGCTCTAAATTCTCTCCAAGAGCAGCCATACGATCGGCTCAATGAAGCTATACTGCAGCATTATCTACCTTCTCGGGGGAAACACTTGCGTCAGCTACTTGCCCGAAGCCCCACGGGGGATACAAAATCCAGCCGCCACCCAGCTCACCTCCGGTCCCTGGCAAGGCACGCTGATAGGGATTCGGAGATAATTGAGGAATTGTGGTTGAATTCTTTACCCTTTCATGTTTAGATCACCGTACCTGCTCTCCTCGGAGACTCGTCCCTGGAACGATCAGCCACCGTGGCTGACAAGATTGTTGCACGTGTCGGCAATGGGGTTAACCTACTCATTGCCACGACATCGCGCAATCCTCGGAGTGTTGATCTGGATGAATCGCCGGAGAGGTCTCGGCACTCTCGATTTATCTAGCGTCAACTGTCTTTCAAAGAGAGAGTTAATGTACCCACCCGTCTCAGTAGCCCACGTAAACAACGGCACGGACGGGCGCCCCCTATTGCCCACGTCCGCCGTAAATCCGACCCATCTGCCTCTCCCAAACCAGACCACTCTACCACCGGTTTTTGTTTGGTTTACTATGTTTTTGGACCAGCACCTTGTAGGTGCAGATAGCCGTGTTAATGCGCGGTGAGAAACGCTCCTGCCTGCTAGTAAAAACGGCCGTACTCGCCGGTAATCTGTCTCAGGTCGGCTGTCTGTTTTGTTTGCATGATTTATGCATGGACGTTGCTTCCCTAGTTGACACTGGGGCCCAAGTTTCAATCTTGCCGGTCGGCAAACACAAGGCCCGTGCTTCTTTGTTCCGGCCGTCCGCGGCGAATGGCTCCTCCACTCCTGCCTAAGGCACGAGACAGCTGACGGTCAATGTGGTACCACGACGACGGCATCTGTGGACATTCATCCTTGTGGACTTTCTCACAGGTAAACTGCTTCCAAAGAAACATGTTATCTTCGATTTCGTTGGCTGTGCGTTCGGAGCTGGAAGTGGACCAGGATTGTGATTGGTGGCACGTTTTCGGGCGGCTGAGAGCGTCGGTCTGAAGTTTTATCCCATGCAACTTCTAAGTAAGACCGCCGAGCTGATCGGACGTGGTAAGTGTGTATTTTGCTCACTGTTTCGGACAGCTTCTCCAGTGGGGCTTTGGCAGCTTCTACTGACAAGATGGCTCTGGTTTCAGCAGGTAGTCGGTTGGTCCACAGCTGCCGAAGTGATGCTTCACTAACCCGATGTTGTGCATCAAGCCAAGGCATATAACGCACGAGCTGAGACGGAGTGCGGTTGCCTAATTCTGCACCAGTCAACAATTGCTGCAGACCAGCTTCATCTGGCGAGCTTGTTCGCTTTAGTACGGCCGCCTTGGGCTTGTCGTATGGAGAATCGGCTGGCATCGGTTCTGCGAGATCTATTACTTCGGAGGCTATTCCTTTGGGAAGTTGCGTCACAACGTAAAATAATATGATATTCTGAGAGGTAATTCTGATACCGTGGAAATAAGCCTCAAGCTGAATAAATCACACACGAAGATTCAAAGAGCCCAAAGTGGGGGCTTCACGGAAGTGGTGTTCACGCTACCCTCAACGTCCCTAATATCTCGCAGTTGTAAAGAAGGATCCACGATAAAAAAGATGCAGGAAAAAAGGAAGAGTGCCAAATGCAAAGAACTTGGAATCAACCGTGGGAGTTCTGGACGGATCACGGCGGGCTGCCTGACAACGATAGAATATAAAATGGGGTATGGTAACAAAGTGCTGGTGTACAGAAATACCGTGCAACAGAAATAGAAAAAGGCGACTCACAGTGCGTTCACCATGTTCAGCAAGTTGATAATAAACCAGCCACAGAGTATTGCGCCTGAGGTTTAGTTCAACTTGCCTTTCCGTCCAAAGGTTTTACGTGGTCTGAATGGATCCTGATACTTCCCCAGTTGGCTGCCGAGTGGCGGTGGATGCACTCAAATAGCGTTTGGGATTGTATGAGTTTGGTCTTTGTTACCATGGGTCTCAGAAAGTTCAAAAGCAACGCAAAGAGGACTATCCGCGGTACCCACTGGCGAGCCAGTTGAAAAGCGTCTTTAATAATGTAATCAAACAACTAAACATGTACGAAAGAGTAAGAAGAAACCGGCGAAATATGCAACATATACAAGGAACCACAAGGTGGTTTCGCGTCCCACGAGAAAAATTAGTAATTTATAGCATAAACAATCAGTGGAGAAATTCTACTATATTGTTTGGAAAGCCGCAAAAACCTATCCACAACCGGAAGCTAATTCGTATCAAGGATTCGATGTAGTTTCAACCAGTAGCAATCGGGAGACGAGAATATGCTCAAGCAATACACAGCTGTCGCCATATCTCCATATCGTTTTATTATTCTTTTTACTTCATTTTTGTTTGTTATACAGTAAAGTACAACAATTCAGGTAGCAAGCAGCGGCCAGCGAAAGATTTCCAATTGTGAAGTGAACGGTGATGGCGGGAATCGAACCCGGGTCGTCACTGCACGAAGTCCACGACGACAACGGTTCGACCGTCGCCGTTCAATATGAGACGATAAAAGGGCTTAAGAATTTTGATACCCCCGATTCGTAAAGATTAATGAAGTTGGCTCTGTTCGCCGACTCGGGCAAAATACTCGAAGAATGATTGGTGATTATGATGATGTGAAGCAGCGCACAAAATATCAATCATAGGCGGCATGGGGCGAGGTTTGAATGTGGCCAGCAGTGGTCAATTTCAACAGTGTACTCTGTAGTTCTTCAGGTTATCGCAATACCTGACCTATTTCACCTGCGTGTCCGTGCAATGGCTCGCTCCAAGTCCCGGTTGGCTTGAGTCAGTAGAAAGGCAGTGCAATATACACGTCACTAATAGATTAAGTAAAAAGTCGATTGCCAAAAAAGCAATTAAGAAAAATTTGTTTCCCTAATGGACTTTACTGTAAGACACTTTTGGGCAGTGCGCAGCCTAATTTGGTACTAATCCCGAAGTCAGAAAGCGATCATCCGTGAAATTCCACGATACTAGATATTCAAATGAACGATGACATGAAACAGATACGAACCTCAATTATGCGATCACAGGGACTCAGCAAACGAGAACCGAATTGCGGCGTGCCAGAAAGGAGCATGTGCATCACGCAGATCCACAATAAGGGTATGACAGAGCAGCGCGCTGGACGCGGACAAACAAATTTCGGTTCAATAAAACGTACGGTACACAAAAACAAGCCAATAGTGTAAATGAGTGATTGATGTTGAGGAAACGTGGAATTGTAGTGTCTTTGTGGGGCTTGTTCAGGATCGGTCGTTAGAGCGCATACAAATGAAATTCTTCTGGTCGCCACGGCTACTTTAAGTCTTGCGCAACCTGACTTGACCTGACCTGGCCGGAGTGGACTTGAACTGAACTGAACTGAACTGAACTGAGCTTAACTGCGCTACTGCTGATAGTTTTCAAGGATCGTTAAAACTACTTGTTCTGTACACCGAAGTAGCCAGCATGAGAAAGGCTTTCCAGAGTTGAGAGCTTGTATGTATGAATATGTGATTGCAATCACGGAAGCAGGGCTAAGACTCCACGAAGATTCCCGGAGCATCTACCCACCAAATTACGTTCTGAGCAGGATGGTAAACAGGAAGCACAGAGTAAAGGCGTCCTTCTGTTCACAACAGAGCAGTGCGATCAGCATAAGCGGTCCCGACTAGATGTACGCAACATGCAAGCTCCAGCGATCCAGGTTAGTCTAAACCACATAGACTCAACAATTGCTCGTATATATCACAGCCCCTCCCCCGACAATGAGGTGAATGAGGTGTTGTTTTACCTTTTAGGTAACTTGATGCACTTGTGCTCTAGTGTCCTAGTATTCTGGGATTTTATTGCGCCTTAATTAGACTGCGTAAAATAGAGTTAGCTCTCGAGTGGACATTCGGAGCACTATTGATGGACTTGCTGCACAGGACGTTTTTATGCAACACGTTAGGGAAGGAACAAGGTGAAGACATAGGCAGAGAGCCCCATCCTAGAACCGGCAATCATCAGATACCCAAGGTATATTGTGAACCTAACCGTAGGGGACCCACTGGGAAAGAGTGAACACGGAGTGCCAAGATCAGTGGCCAACACACAGGAGTCTCGTGCGCCTAACGAGTTCCGGCTTTGTATCCATGAGGCTGAACCGAGGTTTCTTCCAGGAATCGGGGAACTGAGGAATCGGAAGGGAGGAAAAACTACGTGGAAAGATAGAGGTCCGGAATCCGGGAAGCCAGAGAACATTTGACAAACCGGGTAGCACAATTCAGAAAGGCGCCAGGGCAAGGAGCCCTGTCAAGGTGGACCAATCGAGTTCGTTAGGCACTCAAGGGTGAAATATAAGGATAGAGGTGGAAATCAACTTTTCTAAGGTACACAGCAGTGACGACTATCTTTGCAAATGTGTAGATAAGTGGTTGGTAGAAATATGAGAGAAAACTGGCGAGAAATGCCAAGACCAGCCCGAAGTCGCAACTTAATTACGTGCAGTCAAAATCGGTGCCAAGGATATCCGCGGGCGACCTAGGGGGCGACCAAGAAAGACACCCTAAAACCAGCTCTGATGAGGCGGGTGAGCCCATGCACTTTCTCCAACAGGTTTACATAACAAGCTGCGGTATACCGAGTTGGAAATTAGAAGATTTGATCCTCGCGCGGATCATGGACAATGCCATAGTAGATATCTTAGAAGTAGCCTCTGCCTTGAGCAGATTAGAGACATCCGAGAAGGAGAGGTCCGATGGTATCCATTTGGCCACCCTGGAGCCGATAGATGGCGTACTTGCAGAACCTCTGACCGCGATATTTCACGTATCGATAGAAGAAGGTACCATCCCGAAGGACCGGATGAGGTCCACAATGTGCCCAATGCACAGGAGTGGAGAAGGGGGAGTTGCTCGAACCACCGTTTCGTTGAGCCTCACCTCGGTAGTCTTGAAAATGATGGCAGGGATCCTGAGGGACAGGATAGCAGCACACAACGGCAAACCTTCTGCCGGCACCTAGTCAACACGGCTTCGTAAGACGCCGTTTATGCTCGACCTACCTGGTAAGCTTCCCTGATGAGGTAACCGGTGGACTAGACGGGAGGCAAAGTCGAAATATGTCACATCGACAGCGAAAGGGCATTCGACTCAGTAAACCACCACCTACTGCTCAGGAAACCAGTGGTTTTGGTTTAACCCCGCCTCCCTCCAAATTACTACATGAATCAGTGGCCCTACAACAAGTAGAAGCTTCCAGGTTAGAGTGGAGGAGAGTTTTTCGCCAGCGGGCTTCCTTCACAGCTGTGTACCCCTGAGCCCAGTACTTGGGCCTTCACTCTTTAATGTTTGAAAATGGTCTTGCCTTTCGCTTAGAAAACCCCGTCTTTTTATTTGCGGACGATGCCAAGGCGGTCATTCAGCGAGACCTGAACAGGGCACACCAGTGGTCTGTTGAATGGGGTCTGCCACGGGATGTTAACAAAAGCAGGCATTTAGCAGATGATAGATGAATACGCCCGTTGAGGTGGTCGAGAACACCAGATTAAGAGGTAACAAGACCACGGGTAAGTAGCGTATAAGATCAGGGATTTGTAATCACCGGTGATTTCAATCTAAATAAAAAATATTGTGGCTGCCCAGAATGCTTCTAGAGTTATCTGGTAGCTCAAAAGAGCAGTAGAAGCGGGAAAACTAAGGGTTCCATTGCCACTATACAAAAGTTTGTGCATACCTATCTGGAAAGTCGCGTCCAGGTTTGGTTGCCGTACATGGCAAGGGACAAGAAGATCATGCAACTGGTGCAGAAACGTTTCATGCAACGATTTGCCTACCTCCAGGGGCTCAGGTATGAGCGGCGCCTCGAGAGACAGTACTTGCACTCACTAGAACGTCGAAGGCGCAGGATAAGCCCGGTAGAAATTTTCAAAATAATGAAAGAGGTAGTCGACTTCAGTGGAGTGAAGCCGTTATTAACGCTCAGTGGCAACACGGCAGTCCAAGGACATGCCCTCAGGTCACGGTAGGGGAGAGAAGAGACTCAACTGAGGGCAGAATTTTCTTCCGTTGGAGTGGTGAATGATTGCAATGGACTAGTGGACGAAGAAGGGGTTGCCGCAACGGCGGCGAAGGATTCCACGAAACGACCAAAAGGCGGAACTGAGTAGTACTACATCCCCATCATGCCCCGCCCCACATTTTACTCCTCACATTCAGCCGCACACCTTCATTGCTATCCCATTTATTGTTTCACCTACCCTGTCATCTTTGAGCCGTCAGCCTTGAGTAAGTTCTTGCAACTCACAGCACAATGGATAGCTGGCCATCAGCTGCTAGGAGCCCAAATCACGGACCTTGTACACCCTTCGGATA